GGTCAAAATAAAATGTTATCTGTTTATCGCCTGCATACAAATGAGGGGAACATTCATTTAAAATTTTAGTTATTTAATTGTCAGATAGAACCATATTAAAAATCCCTAAGCCTTGGATTTTAGTTCAAAAAGCTCAGGACACTGGCGTATCCAGAAAAAAGTCCTGTAGACGACTTAACATGGTGATCACGGACTATTATTCATTTTTACTCAGTATATTTTCGACTACTCATTTAACCCATAGATTTAGCAATTACTCACGTTTACTTACTTATTGTCGGGAAAGTATTTTAATCCCAAAAATATTTGAAAATGAGATATTACATTTTTTTAATGTTATGTGACATGTAAATAAGGAAGAACCATGTCACTCATTTCCGTTGGTCTATCTGTCTATCGATCTGTTTGTCCACTAATCCTTGGACCGCCTATAACTTGAAAAGTACCGGTCGGATGCTGACGGAATTTTTCACAATGTTACTGCCATGCCAAGGACGAAGAAGCTTCGTAGTTTTTGGAAATCGGTCTAAGCGCGGCGGAAAAAAATGCGAAAAAAGAAAAATAACTCTCCAAAAAGCTCTCAAGTTTTTAGAGAAAAGCTAACATCTTACTCACATTTTAATCAACCTTCTAGAATACTCATTTGTTACTAAAGCATCCTTCCAAAATACTTATGTCTTGATCCTCAGGCTTGTGTTCACCCTGGGGCTCAAATAGCATAAAAGGTATAATGCCAACCGAAAAATGTTCTATAAGTTTGGTGGTTTGCTCGTAATCGCAGCCAGAAGTTGCCCCCAAAATTAGTAAAAAGGCCGCTGACAGCAGTCTGATTTGCAAACAAATCCTCCGACTGAACTCCGCACGGGTATTACGTATCTTGAAAAGTGACACTATGTCGATTTTTTTTGACATTATATTATTTTTTTTTACAGTATGTAGGTTTTTCTACGAGATGTTAACTTAGCGCTAGGTGATGGACACGTGTTGTGAACTCGTTTTGTTGTACATGTTGCGTCATGATGTTCCCGTTATCAATGCTTGGCTCTGATATGATGTAAAATCTGCTTCAGAGACGACCTTTTCTAGGTTGTATACTATAGCTAGAAGGAAACGGCAATGCTTAGGTGCATAGCCAGAATTTGTGCGCTAATAATATGCGTTGATGATAATTCGATTGGTTCCTTGTCTCAAATATACCTACTTGAGATCCAAAGCTAGGAATTAGTTGCGCATCCACTTTCTCTTACGTATTGTGTAAATTACAAATCGTCGGACAATACCTGCTATATACAAGAACCGTAATTTTACGGGGGATGAAAAAAACCTTATCAATTTTATACTATCGGCCTTACTTTGGTCAGAAAAAATAAATAAAGCTCTAATTGACAAAATTAGTGCAGATAGCTGTTATTTCTGCTAACTTCCTTTGCAGTTTGCAGATATTGTTTGATGCATAGATGGTTTTAGTGAGATTCGTGTTAGAAAAACTGTTATTCATTGTATCAAATTAAAAGTTTAATGCTTTTACAAATCAAAAAGATAATAAATAGCATGTATTCTCGGTTACACCTTAAATGAACGAAGGAAATATGCTAAATCTTTCCTTGACATATGGCAAATTGTCGTAAAACATGTGACAGTCCAGAATATAACACTTATAATCTGAAATGGCGGGTAGCTGTTTTGGTCTGATAGGTAACTCCTGGGGCTCTACATTGTTGCTGCCTGGTCTAATTGTTAAGTATCGCAGCATCTCTGTTCAAGAGTAGTCCTTGAAGAAGTCGTAACTCAATTGGATCGCCTCATATGGCTCTGGTATTGTCCTAGCGCCTTAACATAGTCATTTGGTAATTCAATAACTCTATTTCAGTTAAGTTTTCTTTAAATGCAACTGTGTACAGAGTCACATTCCATTTGGGTGTGTCCTTTGGTGAGATATTTGTGAGAAATCACAACGTCGTGTTGCATTGCAAAGTTTAAAAATATTGCACGTGTAATTGTCAGATAGCTGGAATTGCCGCTGATTGACAAACGTGTTGCCAGTGGTACTTAATGTTTTGGCTGAATAATTCAAAAACTAAATTTTTCTGCAGCTAGCCGACTCTATCACAATGTTCGCTGTAGGTAGACGAAAAAAAATGTGCATACTCGTATGCCTCAAATTGGGCAAAAATGTCAGATAGCAGGTACTGTCACATGTCCGACGATATGCAACTTTGCTGAATTTCAAAACTGAGAGAGATAAGAAAAGAAATTCCCTGGTTGGTGAGGAAACAGGTGAGAAAATATGTTACTGTCAGGAATATATATATATATATATATATACAGGGTGACTTTGAAGTTGAGTCATTAATTTCCAGATAATGATTGTATATGGAAGATAAACCAAAATATGTGTGTAAAAATAAAAAAAAAATTAAAAAAAAATTTTACCTTGTTTTATAAAGTATCCTCCCTACAAGTATTTCAGTGCGAACCTGTATTTGATCGTGAGGTCTTGGAGCACCGGCATGCCCTCTCCTGTGAGGTGTTAAGTCACCTGATTCACGAGTACGTTGTACTACATTAACAAAGGCACAAGGGGTTAGTTGCACTCGATTGGGAAACCGATCCGCATAAACATGTGCCATATTTTATTTCGTTTGAGCCACGCAGCAAACACCACTATTCACTCACGCGTTACCGACTGACACATCAACTGAATAAAAACATCGTGATCAGCGTTTCAAATTCTTTCGCTTTTTTGTTTCCGATGGGATGAACCGATAAGGCGGATTATATCCGTTGTTGCCAAACACGAGCACATAATATTATTATTGAGACAGGGCGGTACTCAAACTTCTAAAGGGCTATAACTTTGTTACTTTAATTTTACCACAAAAATGTTAAAGGAGAAAAACATTTCTTTTGATCAGATCTACTCACTGTTAAAATAAATGACTCAACTTCGAAGTCATCCTGTATATATAGGGTAGCCCATCCATGTGAGGACGGAATATTACTCATAAACAAATACATTTTCGGAAAATATATTAATGGCATGTTATACACGACATTTGAGGGCACGTTTATAAAATGTTGGCAATTATACAGGGTATCCCAATTTTGACCTACATATCAAAATTTATTGCATATTTGAATAAAGCAAAAGAAGAAAATTGATATAACATACTATGGAGTTTTGGTAACTGGCTACTGAGATGTAAGGTGTTTTATCCAGAAAAACCGTCCAATTCGGCAACCCCTCAATCCGCCATTTTGAAATTTGGAGTGCTGAATTTTGTTTAGAAAAAACTTACATGCCTCAGCTTCCACCGTATTTGTTACTTTTTTGAATTTTCATTTTTGCTCATACAGGGTGGTCAAAAACGGTACTTTTTCTTAAAAATGTCAAATGTATCACCCTGTATATTTGTGCAATTTTGGATTCAATTTTTTATAAGCTTTTCTATGGTATAAGGTTTGATTTAGATAAAATCGCTAGATTTTGAGTTATTAAGATTTTCGCCAAAAACGAACACCATATTCACCATTTCTTCTTTAGAAAAATTCATTTTCAAACAAGTTTTTATTATAATGCTCACAAAGCTAATTTTGACAGTTAATTGTTTCCAAGGATGATGCGATATTTAAGGAAATTAAGCCGATCCATAAAAGTTAATAACCCAAAAAATTATGTGTCTAGTATAAAAAAACAGCTTATAAGAAATTGAATCCAACCCTGCACAAATATACAGGGTGATGCATTTGAAATTCTTGAGAATAACTGCAATTTGCGTTTTTGATCACCCTGTATGAGCAAAAATTAAAATCCGAAAAAGTATCAAATAGGACAAAATCTGAGGTGCGTAAGTTTTTTTGCTACAAGATTCAGCACTCCAAATTTCAAAATGTCGGACTGAGGAGTTGGCGAAGTGGGGGGTTTATCTAGACAAAACACCTTATACCACAGTAGCTAATCACCAAAACCCCATAGTATGTTATATCAATCTTTTCCTTTTGAATTGGTCTATTTAAATGTAGGTCAAAATTGGGACACCCTGGATAATTGCCAATATTTTAGAAATGTGCCCTCAAATTTCGTGTATAACATGCTATAATTTTTTTTCCAAAATGTATTTGTTTATGAGTATATACTACCCTTAAGTTTTTTTAAATTATCAACTCTACAATGTTCAGAGTATGAGGTTTATCGAAATAAGACAGCACACAGTGCCACCTATTACCAGACTCGACTACTGCGAAAGTGAAAACGCAGACTGTTTGTTGGAACTGTATCCTAGTTCGCAAGGTCAACCGGGTTACACTGCGGTCCCTAAGTGCCTCCGATTCTGGTGCTATAGTAGATACGGTTCACTCGCCATTATGCATGTTTTGTACTATTTGGCAACTACTCAGCATAGTCTAGACTATATTACTAGTTTCTTTAATGAAGAGTACACCGTATCTACTATAGGATCAGAATCGTCGGCATCTACGAGTAACAGCCACTGGGCTGACAATGCCAACTGGGATACGGTTTCAACAGACAGCCTGCTGAACTCATTCTCGCAGTGGTCGATTTTGGTAATAGATGGCACGTTGTGCTGTCCTATTTTGAATAATAGTTAATTATCTAGTAACATCCAAAACACTCCATGTCATCAAGTGACTCACAACTCTGAGAGATCTGTAGACGAATTGAAGGCGGAGGGCGTTTTAAGGCCGTATTTTGTTGTGACTTTTTGTACATTCTAGCAACGCGCCTATGTGATTGATTCCATTTCTATATGTATAGGTATTTATTTTATCTTATTGTCAAAATTCCCAGTTACTTAAAAAGAAATACATTGTAAGCCTGGTCTCAGTCTATCAAATCTGTCTTTTTTCCCATCTGCATTTGAAAATTTTACCTCCAACCACACTAGCGCTGCCAAGCGGGAGCAAAATTGGACATCGCTCCACTGCAAGCCCATTGAACCCTATGAACATCACATCGTGCTTGAATGTCAAACAAATGATGGTAAATATAGCATTATGTACAGACTTTATTAAAAAATACAATATACAAAAGCCTATTAATAACCTTATTGGTAACTAACAATGTACAATTTCATAATACCCTATCTAATAAATATTTATCTCTTGTAGTTGACAGAATACGACCCTGTCCACAAGTCTACATTTTGAGCAGGGTTACCATTCCAGATAGCCCCTGAATGCGTGTAGGGGTTTGGACTGTAAGGGGCAGGGTTATTGTAAGTTGGTTGGGTGTTGCTAAAGCCAAAGTTCGATTGAGGTCTATAAACAGGCGTAGGAGCTGGTGCTGGTGGTGGGGGATTATAGTTGTTGTTCTGATAGCTTGGAAGGCTATAGCTAGGCCTGTATTTTGGCTGGGGTCTCTCGTATTCAGGTTCTGGTTCTTGCTCGTATTCAGGTTCTACCACGTATGTCGTCTGAGGTCTCAAGCTCGGTCTTGGTCTGGTGTATGATGTAGCCGGTCTGTATATGGGCTGGGTTCGAGCTTGGGGCCTATAGGATGGCTTAAAAGCCTCTATTTCAAAGTCTGCTGCTGGTTCTTCTCTTTGGATTGCTGCGACAGGTCGTGGTTGATATCTGAAAATCACAAAAAAGGAATTGCTCTGTTAGCATTTTACGGCTAAATATCCATTAACAAGGTTGTCTTTCTCCCAACATTATGCTGGATATTTTCGGTCCAAATATCACTTTTCATACTGCTGGCAAAATGCCGATCCTTTAAGCCATATACAGGGCGACCCGAAAGTTATGGAGCAAACAATGTTAAACACTATATATGTCCTTATCCGATTCTGCACGGTTTTTGAGTTATCGCCATTTTTAAGAAATTGTGCAAAATCACTACTTTTGAGACTGTACTATTTTTTCTGAAGTTGTATTTTGTAATTTTTTAATCAGATTTACAGGATATGTTTCCAAATAATGTGTCGCTGGAAAAAAGTTATTAGTAAACATTTTTTGTACAGTTAATGTAGGCAGCAGGCAGAAAGAGACAGTGTAGTATCAAAAGTAGCGATCTTCCCTATTTTCGTAAAAATGGCGATAACTCAAAAACCGTATGCCGTATATGGTTTTTCTAATTGCAAATCGCTCGCCCTATCAGCCCCCGCGTTTGCTCCATAACTTCTGGGACATCCTGTATAAAAATGTTCAATGGAAAACATTAAGGTTCCACTTGAATAGTGCAGAAAACCTTTCATCAGCTTCTGGAAACTAAGTCGTCCGTTATCTCATTCATTCTCCTATTGTGGTTTGGATTGCCAGCCAAACATGGAGCGAGAGATGAAGAATAGGTTTTATATTTCGAATTAAAAGTAATTTGGCAGGAAGCACTCTGTATACAGTACCTGGTAACTGGCTGTTGATATCTAGGCGCTGGTTGTTGGTAATGCTTTTGCTGAGGTTGGGCACTAGGTTCGTTTTGATAGTATATCGCTGGATCTTCACGATACTGACCTTTAAATATAGAAGAGTTTTTGAATAGGCATATTTATCTTTAAAAGTAAGGTAACTGTTCAATGACGTGAGTTTTACCTATTTAAAATGCATAACATTTTGGATTGCAAAAAACAGTCAGAACTTGCGCCTAATGATGTTACTCGCGTATGAATGCTTTAAAGAAAACTAGGCGCTCAGCATAACATGATATTATCATTGCTTGGATCAAAAATGCAGTGAATGGTTTGAGTACGGAGTGGCGATTCTAGAGATTTCTAATTAATAGTTTCATATACATATGGTAATATCTAGGTATCTAAAAAAACTTACCATCATCTTCTTCATCTGGGGCTAGTGGTTTGAGTACAGCATTTTTGTTAGATCTCAGAGTGGGTGGAGCAACCTGGATTTCATTTCCTGCTGGTTCAAAGCCTCTACGACTTGCACCATATTCTACCTGGAAGACAAAAATGGCGGCCAAGTAAATCTACTCTTTTATAGGTTGTGCTTCTGAGCATAGAACAAAATGCAACCTGTATTAATTGTATGAAGTGTAAGCTTATTTGCTTAGACAATCTTTTAAATCAATCTTCCTGTACAAACGACATAGAGAAACAAAGACATGAATCAGAAAAGATTTATTAGAACTTACAAAACGTTGGGTCTGGCACCAGGTACGAATGATAATTATTACATAAAGGTCAACCTAAACTTGAAAGTTGTAGGTAGATATGAAAAATATGCTAATATTAATATGTAAATAAATCTCCGTTTACAATAATTGGCGGAACTAAACTGTTATTAGATCAATGATCGTGACAGTGAACGGGAATTTAGATCAAGCCTGCTTATACCGATGAAGAAATGTACGTACCAAATGTATGTTCCGTTGCGTCATAGCTGTTACTGACTAATGTTGATATTTATTGGCACAGCTTTGTTTTATTAAGTAATGCATTTCATTGGCAAATATGGATAAAACATGAGACACACGTTATAAACGCGTTCAATTAATGTAATCGCTCCAGAAGTACGCACAGTTTTCAACATTTAATCATCAAAGCATCAAACAACCAAAAGAGAACTGCTGCCAAACTGACAAAGCTTTCCTATGGCTACTGGTATTGAGGAGGAAAGTACTTTGCCACTGGACCCTTGTATGCTGAACGCGCTCAATCTCAGCTCCTTGAAGTTTTTCTGCTTTCGGGCCTAAATAAAATGGAACTTGCCACAACTATCAACGATTTAACAGTTGCAATCATTATTTTAGCTTCCTGATCATCAGCTTGTGAAATAAAGATGGCGATGATTGTGATGACGATGAAGAAACATAATTATGACGGAAATGCTGAATCAACTTGTGTCTATAAGATAGTTTATCGTAACCCAATCTACTTACATAACTTTAGATAAACTAAGAGTAAATATTCTCTAGCTTCAATTTTTTATATATCACTTTGGTCACTTTTGGTAGTATTAGATATTCTTCTAAATAAACCGTAGACATAGCTCCGGAAGACCTCGTATTTATGTATTGTTTCAACTTTGATAACGTTAAACCCTATTTTGTATTCAGAATATGCTAGATCTACAATCTGACTTTAGGTAGCCCCCGTCAGAAATGCTCACCTCTCTCAAGGCCCCAGTGTCATCAATATATCCATATTTTCCATAAACCTCTCCATCAGGGTATTTTGTCTCTATCTTGAACGAACCATCTTCTGCTTCATAACCGTATGTGTACGACCCATCTTCATTATGCTTGTCTATTTGTTTCAAGATCGCTACTGGTGGAGCATACTTTTGAGCAGTCTTCTTAGCAGCTGAACTCTCTTCGATGAGTGATACTGTAGCTATTGTCAGAATCTGTAATATAAGTCAACTGATACACTTATAAATAAGGCCAAGTAAACGTAATTTTAGCAGTACATTTGCTTCAAACATAGATTTTAACCAACATTTTTTAAATTGGCATATGTTTTTTAATCCGTTTTAAATGACTTAAGGAAAACGAAACGGTAACCCGGTAACCTTTGTGGCATATATTGAGTAGGGAGTCTGTTACCGAAATTCTCCATAAAAATTTAGAACTATTGATTCTCACTAGGCAATGCCAGTTATCGCGACCTTAGGATGCTGCTAACGCTCAGTTTGAGGTATTATAGATAAGAAACTATTTCATTCATTGAGTAAACATAATTTAAACGGTCATTTTTCACAAAATTAGGAACATGAAGAAGTTCACAAATATGCGTAAGGATGCTGCTAACGCTTACTTTGAGGTATTATAGATAAGAAACTATTTCACTCATTGAGTAAACATGATTTTCACAAAATTAGGAGCATGAAGAAGTTCACAAATATGCGTAAGGTGTTTCCTACTAGCCTACGTATCCGCAGCGTTACACTCCCCTGCACGTACTCTCAAGAATTCAAACCAGTTTGCTGGGTTTGTCCACTAGCAGAAAAAATTATGAAGGTCGAATTTGGATAAGGAATTTTGCGGAACTGTAGAACGCCTTGATAGAGAGGCCGTAATGTAAGCTCCTGATCAAAAGTTGAACGGACTCCTATGAGCATTGAAGGAAAATCACATCTGCTATCAATGTAACCGCTTGCTCTATTCATTTGACCGAGTTGCTTATTTGTTAATTTTTTTAAGTAGTTTCTAATCATATTTCAAGTGTCTTTATGACGTAAATGATACAAAGAATCCTATTATTATTATAAAGCTTCGAGTATTTTAATTTTATTTTAATTTTATTAACAAAGATGAATAAGGTTAGAGGAAATATTGAAGCATATGTAAATACTCATTGACCAGAAATATCTAGGAAGTACCCTTCCACAAGACATGCTAAACTAATACTTCCCCATTACTCCCACCCTTATAGCGCAAACTTGTCGAGATTTCCTTTAAGTTAGACGGCATACTCCTTAATCATATTGGCTCTCATATCAGTCCTATGCTGCCTTTGAGGCTTCAGTCATTCGATACCAACAAGTACAGCTAACTTGGAACGATCAAAACTACAATCTGCTCTAAATTTCTTAAATAATAAGCCCTAGTATCTATAGTAAACCATGGTAACATTGGAGTCACTTTGATAAAGTCATCTCTCTGCTTTCCCCTCTACCTTTACCCATCTTTCGGTCTTTTACCTAAAAATCCAAAGGGTATCAGGTATCACAGACCGAACTGCTTTATCTATAGTAGTTGCAATCTACGTGGAAAGATGCTCCGATGGATTATGACCCAAGCCTTAGTTTTGTTCTAAGTCTAAGCATTAGCTCTTAAGATATGTGTACTTTCCGTAGAGTTGCACTCATTATTACTTGCTCCTAGTTCCTTATTTTCTTTTTTTTGCTATGTCTGATTTTTAGGAGACAACACCGATAGACTGGCAAACCGACTAAGAATCAACAAGAGATGATCAACGACTTCACGACGCATTACCCTACTATTACGAGCGCGACGTGTAAAAAAATTTACTTACGATAAGAAGTTTCATGTTTCAGCTAACCAGTTCATCTGACACTAACACACACTACACTCTGTATAGTCCTTTCGAATGGGGCCACACCCAAGCTAGTTATTCGTTATATAGTTCAGTATCCCCCACATAAGAATAAGACCTGACCAGCAATGTAAAATGCAAGGTTATATTTATATACTATGCTTGTTCGTAAATACTTGATTCGTTACTCGATGGACAAAAGTGCAAGAAATGCTGGAATCATTGAAAAATTCCAATAATTTCTTAGTTTATTGGAAGCTTAGATTCTATCGAGGACTCTGTTGTTATATCATGAGCGGATCACGGTTCTGGTGATGCTATAACAGAGCAAAACGTGAAAACAAAGGTACCGTCAATGCCCAACGTACAGCTAAATCTCTCTCTATCCTTTCCGAAAGTGGGGAAATGTATAAACATTGAAAAGTGCAATTCATGCAAAAGTTCAACAAGCCATTCAGAAAATATGGATACATACGTTACCATACTTACCATGCCAATTGGTGACGAAATGTTATAATCACGTATAATTTCACATGTCATATATTTGTATGATGTTTCATGACACGTGTATTATGAAAAACTATTTCACTCATTTACGTGGGTATATCTGTCGGTCTGTCGGCTAATCGTTCGCCCCTGAATGAATAACTTGAAAAGTACCGCTCGGACTTTGACCCAAGATTACTACTTTGTCAAAAACAAAGAACCTTCGCAGCTTTCAAACATTGTCCCAGTGGCAGAAAAAGTAAACCTTATTCAAACTTCTTTCTTTGACATTTCGGTGACTCGTGCTCATTTGTTGGCGTTGATACCTAGGTTGTCCCGTAGACTTGCCGTTAAGGCTTAAGCGTTACATAAATGCATTTGGTACACTCGCGCAACGAAAATACGGTTAAACCTGTCGAGGATTAGTCACTACCGCCGATCGCAACGTTGAGGATCGGCAGGACAAATAAGAAATTTCTGATTCGCAATGATGTCAAACGTGTCGCAACTGGGGTCTAAGTGTGTGGACCTATTTGACTGAGGCATTAAATTTTCTTTGTTGTACATGTTCGCAGTTAACTTGTAAGCGGGGCTAGCTTGTGCCGAACATAATATTTCATTAACTGATGATACCGCTGCGTGGGGAGAGGAGAGCAAACGTACTTGGTGGCATTTTTTAGAATATATTCATAGATGATCTGAAAGCCCAACATTTGACATAAAGTAACTTAAGCGTATTTACGCAATATTAGATGTTGTTAATCAAATACAAGAAAATCTTGATAACAAAATAAAGTATAAGTAGTTGAACATGATTTTGTCTAAATTATCCAGTGGCTTAATAACAGAAAATTGAGCATTAATTACTTTAAAACACATTTTTTTACCATTTTTTCCTATTTCAGACATCTTCTAAATTACACAAACATCTCCCTTGTCGTAAATAATCAAAAATTTGAAATTCATGGAGCATCAGATATAAAATATCTTGGAATATTCCTGGATCTACAATATCGTGTATGCTCATATTTCATATGTTTTAAAAAAGTTAGATATGTATCAAATAAAATGAAATATATTAAAAGCATTTTAACAGAAAAATATCTCTATACCCTATACCACACCTTGATCGAGCCACATTTAACCTACGGTATATTGGGATAGGATATGCTACATTCTTAACTCATATTCATGATTTGGCTATTTTCCAAAAAATGATTTTAAAAACAATACCTAACCAAAATTGTATCCGACTGATGTGTTATAAAAAGATACACATGTATATCTTACACGCTATATTGACCTATCAATAATTGATCAATAACGACCCAGAAATTAAACACAATCACCATACAAGACATGAAACAAAAGGAACAAATGTACCTAGACCAAATAAATATATATCACAACGGTCATAGCTTTATTTAGGTCCAAAATTATACATTAATTTACCTGACGGGTCTACGCCTTGGGAATAAGTTCAAGAATGGATTTTTTCTCTGACAAGACCAGACGTATACAAATTAATACTAAATGTGATCAAATAATTCGTTGATTAGTTGTATCTCTATTCATATTTCAATAATACAGTTGCGACATCAATGGTCCAGGTACAGGCAATGCCTCCTCTGGGCCATTACTTCATATTTATTTACTCATTCTTTGTATTGTAAGTAAACAAATATTGTTATTATTATTCAATCTCTTAAAGCTTTTTGCCTTTTTGCCGTGTACTTAGCAATTAGTTACTTCACGCACATAAGATGATGAAGATTTCGTCTAAATTAGGATTCTGTTTTCTTTGTTGGTCATATGGGTTGGTATTGGATCCTGTCAGTTTGTTTCATTTTCGTAGTGATATTGCACAGTCAAACACATTTGCGACAGGCTGCCTATAGGCAATACTATTGAAGAAAGAAACTGAACTCATACGCATACTTCACGTGATCGGACGCCGCTGCCTAGCTAACAGAACCGGCAGGCGAGGATGCATGCATCGCCGCATGGTCTCCCGCTCCACCTTCCTGGTTTGCATTGGTACTGTATATGAGCTCTAGAGACTGCCCAATATCAGATATACTCCCCGTTTTTTTTTAATATTATTATTATTATTATTATTATGATAATTGAGATGAGCAGAGTACACAGTACTATAAGTATGCAGTAAATATAGTGTACGGACACGTAACACAAATACATCAAATAGAAAAAAATAAAAAAGACAGTTCATAGCTATAAAGTTTGTACACTCCTCCAGCTATCATACTGCACTTTGAAGCTATTAACTGAAGTAGCACCAACCACACTTTCAGGTAAACTATTCCAGGTGTTGAATATGCGGTTGGGAAGAAACCACTGTCGGACTGTTGTTTTAAATGGCTCCTTATGCAGTTTGAAGCTGTGTCCGCGTAGATTGCTGCGCGACAGACGGTATAGATGCATGAGGTTGGTGCCCATCAAACCATGAAGTATCCTGAACGTAACTATAAGATCGCCACGAAGTCTTCGCTCAGAGAATGAGGTCAGGTTGAATAATCCAAGGCGATCTTCATAGCTTGGTCTTCGTGCTCCAAAAGGGATCCGAGTAGCCCGACGCTGTACTGATTCGACGAGATTTCTATCGCGCAGAAGCACAGTGTCCCATACCGGGCCAGCGAATTCATGAATTGGCCTCACGAATGCCATGTAAATGTAGGCGCAAGTGTTGACATCGGATCCTTTGAAATACCTCTCCAGCATGTATAGAAGTTTCTTGGCTTTTGATGTAACGTGGTGAATATGCTCTGACCAGGAAAGACGATCATTGACTACAACGCCCAGATCAGTGTGGCTGGAAACTGCTTCGATGTTGTGGTCAGAGATCTTGTATGTAAATCGCGGATTTGTCTTCCCGAGGTGAAGGACACAACACTTAGTTAGATTTAAGGGTAAAAGCCAACTGGCTGACCATTGACAAACAATATCAAGATCTCGTTGAAGCATAGCAGAATTTACGACAGCGGAGGATTTGTCGCCCTTTTTGAATACAAGGGTAACAGAAGCACTAAGCCAGCATGAGGGTAGGGTATGAGATCTAAAAGACGATGTGAATATCAAGCTTAATGGTAGGGCCAGTGCTGAAGCGCAGTTTTTAAGTGCAGCAGCCGTCATCCCATCTTTACCAGGGGAGGAAGAGGTCTTCAGATTTTGCAAGTGCATTAATACATCTTCAGGCAGGAACTCAACTTCGCAAAGGCTGCTGGGACACCTATGGCAGATAGTGGTCGGTAGAAGGTCTCCATTAGGCATCGACGAAGTCATTACTAAAGGACTCTGCCAGTAAGTTGGCAGATTCGGTGGCATCCATGTGGAGATGACCGTCAGCGTCGCGGATCTGAGGTGATGAAACTTTGGAATTCAGGTTTGTTCTTAGATACTGAAACAGCTTCTTCTTATTTTTGGAGGTAACGAGCTTTCGTTCATAAGCATGTTTGGCATTATGTAACGTTCTAGATAGGAGGTTAGAAAAGGATCGATGAGACACGTAATCTTGTGAATGGCCACTCCTCCTAAACCGTTGCCACAAAGATCTCTTGTGACGAAGCATCCTCGATATGTTAGAGTTGATCCAGGGCTTTGAGGGGTCACAGTATACCTTCTTTTCAACAGTATTGTCAGCCGTTTCGCTTAGGACTCGTTGAGCGAAAGTGTCCCACATATCTTGGGTGCTACGGTTGTTAAGCAAAGCAGGCCAGTTGACTTCAGACAGGGCTTGGTTAAGAGCATCGTGGTTTACAATTTTGATGGTTTTAAACTTATCGGTTGTAGAACGACTATTTATATTGAACTGGAGAGAAGATAAAAGTGAACAGTGGTCAGACTTGCCAAAAGGTGGCAAATAATATAAATTAGAAACAAAGTCGGCGTCGTTAACGAATATCAAATCCAGAGCCCTCGGCGTCTGTCCTTCCCTGAATCTCGTTGGACGATCAACAAGTTGAGATATGCTAGAGTTGCGTAGCAAGTCGATGTAAGCAGCAGAAGAAGAATTGCATTCAGGAATGGTTGACATAGGCCAGCTAATGTCACGTAGATTGAAGTCACCAGCTATGAAAAGGTTGGTGTTTTTATTTAAGAGATCTGAAATGAGACTGCACAGGTTTGTGTCTCCCAAACAGGGCCGTGGCCGATATATGCAGCCTATCGTGAAGCTGAAATTTGGGCACCTCAATTCCAAAAATAGATTGTCAATGCCATCGAAAGGACTGAAAGAGGGAGATACCGAGAAAGCCGACGCGATTTCCGTGCGAACATAAATGCATACTCCACCAAAACCAGGAGTGCGTGGTGAATCCATTCTGTATAAATAGTATCCAGGCAAATTGATAGAAGAGTCGGACACGTTGGAATGGAGCCATGTTTCAGTAAGGCAAACGAACGTTGGATTATTGTCTCGAACAAATGCTTGGAGCTCAACTAGCTTAGAAAAGAGAGATTGTATATTAGTGTAACAAACCGTCCAGTTTGCCACAGAATTTATCAGTTTTTTGAAGGTGTGATCTCCTGGGTAGCTGTCTGTACTATAGAAGGTTTACCACGAACGTATTTTATAGTAATATTACTTTCGCCTGTTGTTTGATGTCGTCTAAGCTCTTTGCGAAGGTGTTGTAGTTCTTGCATTTGACCTCTGGTTTTGTCGTCAGAGATTTTTACGTGACGAAGCGTGGGGTGGCTAAGGATGGAGTTTTTCTTCCGCAAAATATTGCTGACGATAATAGGTGAGGAAAACACAACTCTAATTAAACGATTGCTTGAAGTTGTTCTGCCAAGGCGAGTGATGCTGAGTCGGTGATTTTCGGCAGATGGTTCAATATGCCTAATATATCAACGTGCTGACCACGCAATGCACACGCGCCGGTTATTGCTTTGGTTTAATGTCTTTCTTGGGTAAATAGACCTATACTAATCTAGTTCACAATTCTTGGAGCAAATAGATATTATTATTAACGTACAAAAAGTAGCAACATGTGATTTACTTCTTTAATACTATGCAGAACCAAGTTTACCTATTGCCTACACCCATTCCCTTTGTTCAAGATAATATGACTGCTGCGCGTTATGGTGATGATGTTCTACAAACCACTTTACTACCGTATCTAGAGGGCTATCCACACGTCCTTTTTCAGCAAGACAACAGCACGTCCCCATATTGCTCGTCATACTACGGACTTTCTTCAAGAGGAAGGCGTTAATGTTTTGCCGTCGCCACCCCGTTCACCGGATTTAAATCCCATCAT